ATATATATGCACGAAATAGCAAGCAATGTTTTGGGTCGCGTTTACTCACCGTGGCTGTGGCTGAAGTTGGAGTCCATGTCGACCTTAAGCTCGTCTTCGGCCATCTTGTCGTGGCGGGGCGAGGACACGCCTTTCACTGAGCGGAAGTACTGACTCCATCGCGTCCGGCCGGCGTCCTTTTTCAGCCGCTTCTCCTTGGCGCGCCTGCGGACATGGTTAACGTAGTTAAATCGTCAGCTTCAAGACGGTCACCTCCATACCGCCACCCGACCCGTGCGAGCTCAGGGTCGTCATCACCACGTCGGCGGTGCGGCCCCCGGAGCAGTCGCGCAAGAGGGTAAACAAAGTCATAAATAAAGGTCCCCCCGGATGAACTTGGCTTTTGGCATCCGAGCGGAAACGCGGGCCCCAAGTGAAGGAGAGCATGGAGTCGCAGGACAGAGCGGCGAAGGGCGCCACCACCAACCACCACCGCCCTATGCCCCGCCCGCCGCCCCCCGTCCGCCCTGGCGCTACAAATGTCGGGCATGCATGAGTGAGCAGGCAACAGCACTGAGTTTGAAAGGACTCGAAGGGGCGAGGGGGTGGGGCCGTCTGAGAAAGTTTGAAAAACGGCACAAAACAAGTCGGGCTGCTGGCTGGCCGGGGGCTTTTCATCGAAGAAATACGCGGCAAGACGCGGCCCGGTGGCGGGGCGCGGGGTGGAACGGGGCGGGGGAAAGAAAAGGAGATTCCGACTCGCCAACGCCACAGCATGCCGAGGAGACAAAGACAACTTGCGTCGAGCCGGTCCAACATTTCTTGCTGTCTGTTCTTGCGAGAAAGAGGGTGAGGGACCAGGGAGAGTAAGGCGGGGACGGGGGTAGGCAGGGATGAAGGGGAGAGGGATACAGTGGGAGGAAGAGGTACAACGTCGACGCCAGGACCACGAACAAAACGCCCCCTCCCTCAGCCGACGACATATGAACGTCTTCTCGCCGTCGACCCTCGCTCTATTTTTCCTCCCTTTCTCTCAGTCTCTTCCTTCCCCTTTTTTTTTCTTCTGTTTTTGAACCCAAAAGGTACAGAACCCTCCCCTATTCGTCCACCCAATGGTTTTAGCTAGCTCTGCCCTAACGTATAGCCGACTGTACTGTATAAGTATGGGTGTTGTCTCGGGTGTTGTGCTCCTACCAAACTCGACGTCGCTCGAACTACTAGGCATGACAATTTTTCGGAGAGCTTGCGAACAGTACGTAACCTGCTAAAAGCTAGTTAAGTCCGATACTCTGCCTTACTGGCTCTTCCTCCTCTCTCCCTCCTTCTGCCTGCCTCCCAACCCCAACCCAGCTCTGGAGGGCGGAGGGCGGCTTTGCGCCCGGCAGGTCATATTTAAGACAAGATGGCCTCTTCTCCACCCCACCCCGCCCAAACCCA